GCCTACTGCATATATCCAGTACCATCAGAAAAACATAGCAGTAACTACCATAGAGAATATTATCCCAACAAAAAAGGAAAAACCAAAATGGAACAAACCGTACGCAGGAGTTATACTGCCACCGCCATTTGAGATATTTTGTACTGGCAAACAACAGCCCCCCGGCCGCAACATTCCATTTGTCTCCCAGAAAAACAACAATAATCTACCGTGGAAATTAGTATCCCTGCAAGACAAAACGCGGGTCGGGTGGGCATCTCGACAGAACAAAACAAAAACAAATCCAAACCTCCAAATGTGCCAACGATAGGAAGAATGATTTGCAGACAGTGAAAAATGTAGCGTTGTATCTGAAGATCAAAACACAAGAACAACATCCTGCACAAACCAAATTTCAGAAAAATGACAAGAATACGCAAACAAACATCACGTGCCTTGGCGAGTTTAAGACCCCAGCAGAAGTCGCGCTGCTTGCCATCACTGTTGGACTCGCCCGGTCCTCCGAACCCCCTTCCCCGCGTCATGATCCTCCTGTCGTTGTTCCGGTCGCGAACACGGGCTCCCCGGCCGTTGCCCCCGCGACATCTTTCCACGGTCGAACCGCGTGTCCATCCCCATCACCGGCCCCACTCTCCCAGCCTTCAGCCGGCACAGCTCCCCCGGGTCGAAGGGGCGCAGCAGTACCCGAAACCAGGCCACATCCATCCCCTCTGCCTCGTCGTTGCTACTGCTGCTGCTGCTGCTGCTGCTGCTGCTGCTGTTGCTGCTGCCGCTGCTGCTGCTGTTGCTGCTGGGGCCATCGACCAGGTCGTCTACCTCGGGATAGTTGGCGCCGCGCACCCCCGAACACACGGTGCCGGGATCGAAAGGGTGCGTGGACGCCCCCCTCTCGCCACAGACGCTGTCATCCCAGCAGCCATCAACCTCACCTTCACACCAACCGCCATCATCGCTGCCGTCGTCGATGCCGTTGACCACCGCTTCTCCGTTGCTGACCGCCCCCCCAACCGATATGGTGGGGGAAACGTCACCGCCGGTCGCCATCGTACCGGCCGGTGCCGTCGCCGCGGTCGCGGGTCGTGCCGTCACCGATGTCGCCACTGCAGCCGCCGATGCCGCCACTGTAGCCACCTGCGCAGGCTCTCGAGCCATTCTCTCCGCCGCAACAGCGGGAGAAACAACACCGTACCGTCGGGTGCCACCGCCGTCGCCGCTGGAACCGCCGTAGATACCGACGCTCCAACCACCAACGCGGGCGCTCCGGTTGTTCTCCCCGCCACCGTCGCGGAGATAACAGTGTCGCCGGGCACCGCCGCCGTCGCCGCTGGAACCGCCGCCGATGCCGCTACTCCAGCTGTCGCCGCGAGCCCTCCGGGCGCTTCCTCCGCCGTCGCTGCGAAGGAAACACTACCGGCGCCGTAGGTCGCCACCGTCGCCTCTGGAGCTGCTGGTGATGCCGCCGCTCCTGCCACCACAGGGACCCCGGCAGTTCCCCCCGCCGCCGTCGCGGCGACAACACTACCGCCGCCGTAGGTCGTCGTCGTCGCCGCTGGAGCTGCCGCCGATTCCGCCGCTCGTGCTGCCACCGCGGGGACACGGATCATCCCCCCTGCCGCCGCCGCGGGGGGAACACTGCCGCCAGAGGTCACCGTCGTTGCCGCTGGAGCTGCTGCCGATGCCGCCGCTCCTGCCGCCACCGCGGGGACTCCGGCCACCCCCCCTGCCGCCGCCGCGGGGAAAACACTGCCGCCAGAGGTCGCCACCGTCGCCGCCGGGACTGCTGCCGATGCCGCCGCTCCTGCCGCCACCGCGGGGACCCCGGCCGTTCCCCCCGCCGCCGCCGCGGGGAAAACATCATCGCAGACACTGCCACCAGCGTGAACTATATCCACAGAATCATTCCATCCAAACCATCCGTCATCATCACTGTCCACAGCGCCGCCAGCGTCAACCATGTCGACGAAATCAGAGCGGTACTCGCTCTCTGCCATCACCTCGCCGCCAATGTGAACCAGGTCGAAAATATCAGAGCGGTACTCGCTCTTTACCACCACCTGCTGCTGTACGACCGAGCTTCCACCGATGTCCATGCAGCCGCCGCCGCCATTGACATCCATCCAGCAGCTACCGCGGACGATACGGCCGTCATCCTCGCCGTTGCTGCCATGAAGATGCACGGCGCAGTTCCGCCACATATGGCCGTACTGATCACAGGCGCCGCACGTACCCTCGAACCTGCGGGGTGCGGCGCATTCTTCGCCGTGGTGGCCGTTCCTGCCGCACCGAGTGCAATGGTATACCGTACCAGGCGGAGGGGGTGATTCCTGCTGGAAAAACGCGGCATTGCTCCTGCAGTCATATATCCCACCAACTCCGGTTGGCGGCAGCTGCTGTTGCTGCCGCGCCAACTGCTGGTGCTGCCGCGCCTGGTGGCTCTGAGTGAAAACGCAGTGTTGGTTCTGCTGACGGACAAAACCACCACGAGAACACTGCTGTACCTGCGATGGCTGCTGCTGCCATTGAGCACTCCATGGCAGCTGCTGTTGTTGTTGTTGTTGCTGCCGCCTAAGTCTCTCCTTGCCATACTGGGCAGCCTCCGCAGCTCTGAGCACCTTCACCAGCCTCTCCACCTCCGACTCGGCAGCTCGGAGCTTCTCCGCTGCGTTGCGCGACCTCTCCTCCATCTTGATGCGCACAACTGTAGTCTCCTCCGTTTGCGAATCTCTTCCTATTCCGCCGCTTCTCTCCGCCATAGTCTACACTTGAAAAATATCCCGTACCCTGCTGTCCTAGCCCTGAAGCGCTGTCCCAGCAATACACTCCCTGCTGTTCCGGTCCCCGATGGCCACCGTCCTAGCTATACACTACCCGCGGCCGTGCTGTCCCGTCCCCGTTGGCCACGTCCCAGCTTAGCTATATATATCGTATTCGCCGCCCCATTGGCCCGGCACATACAGCTCAGACGCCAATACCCACTACCAACACCAGGCCCAATATATTGTGTTTGGGTGCGGTAGCCCGTCAGAGGCCGAAAGAGAAAGAAGGTTGACTCAAGACCTTGGTTGATTAGAGAGTGAGAGACATGCGGTAGGCAACACCATCGCCATGCAGCATGCCCATCAACACATTTCATCCGCTTACCCCCGGAGGCCCCGTAGACAGTATACTCTGCCGAGCACCCCAAACACAGTGGTTATAACGCTATTACTTAAGGTAGCTCACTCATGTGTTAGCGTAACAAGCACTGGCTAGGGTTCAATTAGTTTCTTCCATTTCATGGTCAGTTTCATGGTCTCTTACCATTTGAGTCAAGGGGGGACTAACAAGGGGGGACTAATCAAGGAGGGACTAGCAAGGGGGGTCTACCTCATGCATTGACTCACAACTGGTTGCTGCTTAGCGATGTGGGTCAAAGGTCCTCTTCCGAGATTGGCCGTGTCAACAGTGAGCGATCACCCGAAACACGTGTTGAGGCGGAGCTCTAGAGGGGCTCCGCTAATGATTCAGGTACACCCTGTGGTATACCCTAGCCCTCCTCAAACCATCGTGAAATGGAATGATTCTCAGTATTTAGCGTCCGTTCATGCTACCGTGACATCATGTAGTCTAAAACCAAGTTTAACCCCTTTAGGGCTGGATCGAGTTTTGGGGACATTTTTTGTCCCCATAATTTTTTATTTTTTTATATTGACTTACACTTTGTATCCAGCGATTCCAAGTTATATCCTACTGCTCGATTTTTTTAGGCAATAAGGTTCATGGCGCGATTTCGTGCTAAGCGAGACTGTGGGGCCAGCCAATGAGCATCCCACTTTCATCGCTGTGTACGCGACGCAATACAGCACACAGCACACAGCACACAGCACACAGCACACGAGCACACACATCCTCCGCCACTCGTAGTCTCGGTGCAACCCTGGGGGACAAGAACAGACACATGTCTTGGGAACATGATGAACAAAAGTACGGCCGACAACTGCTGCATGCAGCCTCAAAGCGTTATAGCGGTGACCTGCCAGTTCTCTCCGGGGAGGACACGGCGAAGTGCACGGTGCTGGAGGCCGCAGGTGACGGCAATTGCTCACTTCACAGCATCTACAGGCTGCTGCACCCCGAGCGAGATAGCGTCGTGGGTGCAACACCAGAGGAGATAAGAGAGACCCGCCAAGAAATGGTGGATGAAATGGCACCAGTTGTTTTCACTGAGGACTACGATCTGTTACTGGACAACACGGTGTCCGAGGAAGAAATGCGGAGATTGTCCAATCTCCACTTCGACAAGGGTTTCTACCGAAAGCGCACCTCCTACTCCTGCCGAGCTACAAGAATCAAACCAGTGAAGACCGTGCAAGAGGTGGTACAGGACATCCACAGACAGCTGGGAAATGATTACTTGGCGGTATGTCAGCTGGCGTTGGTAGCTGAGGTGAAGGAGTGTAATATCGTGGTCTGGGAAGCAAAAATGGGAGGTGGGCTTCGAATCGTGGAAATAGGCGAGACCACGGGCTGTTTCGTTGGCAATCTTTTTGGGAAGGATTTTCTGCACCTGGTGTACAATGACTGCAGGGGCCACGTTGCAGATAATTATGCTGAGGGTGCGGTTATAGTGCGCGACCCGAGCAGCAGCAACGTGGCGGCAACAAAGATGAACCACTTCATTCAGCGCTATCGTGATCCCACAAGAACTCGTGCCATGGGCATTGCCGTACATGCTCGCACGGGGTTCCTCCGGCGAGTCTGTTTTTGGGCATAGGAAGGCTGCAGACGATTTTTGCCCGTGTCCAACCACATCGGACAAACGTTCGACGAAACACCGGGGCTCTTCCATTGCTGTCGACACTGGTGATGATGACCAAACCGAGACAAACAGCAGCGTGCGATCTCCCCGCTCTGCTGGAGGTGCCCGGTCAGTCAAAACCGCACCCACCGGCGTATCAAAGCCGGAGGTGCCGCTGGGGAAAGCGGCGATCAAGCGCGCCACACTTCCTTCTGCCAGCAGCATGTCGGCGACGCCCGTGGTGAATGAGACGCCGACGCCGGCGGAAACGCCAACCAATCTCGCCAGGAGCAAAGCGCAAGAGCTGTCTTCAGATGCGGCGAAGTCGGAGACGCTAGAGGGAGGTGCTGCCGGCGCAGATCCGTCAAAAAAGAAGCACGGAAAGCGCAAGCGCCGCGAGACTTGCAATCCTTTGTTCGCCAGCGGGAAAAGGCAAGGGCAGCGCTGTGGGGCCGAGGCGAAATCCCCCTGTGGTACGCTCTGTAGCATGCGCAGTAAGAAAGGTGGCGAGAACCGTACTTGCGGTAGGGGTGGAAACGGCGGTGATGACGAAACGGAATACGTGCAGGAGCCTGAGGGGGACGAGGAGATGAGTGACGGGGGTAGCGACGGCGAGTTTCCGGGGGATTTGGCAGACTATGACGAGCCGTCCGTGACTATCAAAAGCCCTCAGCAGATCAACGCTATGGTGGACAAGATACCGGAGGGCTGGGGAATGGCGGCCCTGAAGTTCGTCTTCGAGTTGGTGCAACACACACATGACTTCCGAAACGACCGCAAGGTAAGGATGTGTGCATTGATATAACTAGGATATTATTTTTTTCCGGCAAACGCTCGTCGCTTTCCGGTGTGATGTGTTGTCGTTTGGGACCACAACGGCAGCACGAAAGCTACAGAGGTACGACTTCGTTCGGCAAAACAGGTTTACAAAGTTTGATGTACACGGAGTTTTGACATCAACTACTCACACCACCGCGCGTCGGGGGGGGGGGGGTGTACTCATAGTCGTGCATGCCGTAGTCGTTAGACCATTGACCTCGCATCCCTACAAAGCCGGGACCGAGCACGCCGGGTTCGCACCGGACCAGGCTCTCACATCACCAAGCGCGAAGCGCCGTGAGATGTTCGACGAGTCGCATGAACGGTGCGCTGCATCCTGATTAGGGTGTTCGTCATCTTGTGCTTACTTCCTTGCACACAGATGACAGCTGCGTATGACTTAATTTATTTTCTTGTGCTTTCTTTTC